AAATGCACAAGGAAAACTTTGCAGGGAAAGGATACTGAGTGGAGATTTGATGCTGAATGTATCCTTCAAAGATGTCATTGTAGTCCCTCTGAGGTTGAAATTCAAAATCCAAGAACCATGGGTGAAACACCACATACAGAAAGGAAGTACAGTGGGGCGAGCCTTTGCTAGGGCAGCAGGAGTCTTCGGGAACAACCAATGTACAGGTGAGCTCGCCCAGGGCAGCGAGAGGGAGGAGGGCAAGGCAGTCATTATAGGGAGTTAAAAGTACAACCTTTGACCACACAGCTTGGAAACTCTGAGGTGAGGTGACCTGACCTGAGACCAGGGGGACCTAGCCTGTGTCAGACGTACATTTGTAATGGAAAACGATACATCTGTGCTGGAGTTACTTGTCCACACACCGAGCAGCTAAGTCACTGAGCACTGAGCCTAGGCTCAGCAAGGATGCTTTCCACTGTAGTTTGATTTTCCATGTGGATTTTTTCAGAATTCCAAAAATGCAGTTCCCTAGCCTGGAGGGAGCCTGGTCTGTGGCAAGCCGAGTGCTAGGTATTATGGATACAAAGGTGAGCACCAGAGTTATGTTCTTACCTGCTCCTAGGAGGATAGATGAGTAAAGTTTTGTATAATAAATGCTATGTATGGAGCGCCCAGGTGGCTTGGTCTGTAAAGCGTGGGACTCTTGATGCTGGAACAGGTCACGATCTAAGGGTTGTGAGATCAAGGCCCATGAACACCTCCGTGCTCCACATAGAGCCTGCTTAAGATTCTTTCTTCCTCTGCCCCTCCCCTCTGCTCTTCCCCTCTCAAAAAAATGATATATATATGCAAATAAGTTATAATAAATATAAATATAGTACCTGTATATTTGGTTTCTGACACACAGCTCCCCAAAGTTTTGGAATCTTTGGAGTGATGAGTGTCTTTTGTACACTATTGAGTTATCTGTGGTTGTGGGGCCTCAGGTCTTCAGGATGGGGGCTGGTTGCCAGAAAAACCAAGGCATGATTAGAGGGCTGGAGCTTTCAGTCCCGGTCCCTAACCATCTCCAGAAGGATAAAGATGGAGTTAATCACTAATGGCCAATGATATTATCAATCATGCCTACTTAATGAAACCTCTGTAGAAACCCCTAAACAACATGTTTCAGAGAGCTTCCCAGTTTTTGTTGGGAAGGTGGGGCCTGGTACCCCTGTAGGGGGCACGGAAACTCTGAGTACACACCCCACCCCATCCCATCCCATCCCATCCTTCCCTATGCAGTTCTCCATTTGGCAATCCTTGAATTTGCTTTCTTTATCATAAACCAATAATAGTACATAAAATGCTTTCCTGAGTTTTGTGAGTCATTCTAGTGAGGTACTGAGCCTGAGGAGGGAGTCATGGGGACCCCAGACTCACAGCCAGTCAATGAGAAGTACAGCTGGCAACCGGGGAATTGGGCCATGTCTGACGCGGGGGGGGGGGGGGGGCGGGGTCTGGTGAAACTGAGCTCTTACCTGTGGGGCCTGACCTTTGAGGTAGTGTGAAAATTGAATTGACTTGTAGGACACCCAGTTGCTGTGAGGAGAGGTGGAGAATTTGCTGAAACTGGGAAAAACCCCACACAGCTCTGCTGTGGGAAGTCGTGCGGCTCTGGGAACATTCAGGAAGGACCTTCAGTTGAAGGCCAGGATGGTAACAGAAGGGTGTCTGGGGGAGTTGGTTAAATGGAGATCTGAGACTGGCTAGCCGACGTGGGGAGGAGAGGGTGTTGAAGGAAGAGGTTGGAAAGATTCTAGGCAGATGGAAAATCATGTGTGAAGATCAGGACATGAGCTTCTCATGGTAAATATACATTTAATTGATGTTCTAGGTTTTGTGCTTTGTTCTCTTATGAGTTGGACGAATGTGAGTCTGTCTTCTGGGGTCCAGTTACTTTCTGATGCTGACAAATTGATTCTCTCAGTCCACACATCAGAAGATAACAACTGGGAACACTGTGGGCTCACCAAGGCAAAGCCATGCATCTGTGGGCCAAATGTCTTCCCAGACAATACTTCTCACCTTTTATTTTTGCGTGATTATCCAAACTGCAGAGAGAATTTTTTTTTTCTTTTTGGTGCAAAATGGTGGTTTATTAAGGCACAGGGACAGAACCTGTGGGCAGACAGAGCTGCGGCTACAGAGGAAATTTTTAAATATCTGGGGTCAGACAGTTCATTCACAGCAGGTAACTGGAAGATGGGTTCAGTGTTGTTTTGAAATAGGGTTTTCCCCTAAAAATCGACATTGATCCTCTCCGTGGTACCAGGAATGGCCGAGCAAGGACGGTGGCAGACGCGGAACACCACCCGACCAACGATGCTGGCTCTTCCCCACCGCTGCGGTTTCTTTTCAAGTGAGCATTCCGCGTCTGTGCTTACTCGTGGGCGTTCACAGTGCCAGGTCTCTAACTCACACCCTGGGGATGAGTGTCAATGCCGGGTCATCGTTCCCAGAAGCTTCGTGTTTCTTTAGAGCACCTTCCTAGGCTGCTTGGCACCAACAGGCCCTCATGGTGTGCGGCTTGCCTGTTGTATGCATAGGAGCTCTCCAAGAATGTTCCCTCCCAGCTTGCTCAAACACAGGCTCATTGTCACTCATTCCAGCCCCGGCAATGGTTTTAAAAGAAATGCAGTATCAACACACCCACAGTCGCAGCAATGCACAGTCACCGAGCTTTTCTGCAAGACATTACACAGAGAATCCTTGTGGTTTTTTCCTGACTCAGACTTCTGTTTGAAACAGTTAGTAGAGAAGTTTGCTGATAGAGCAGGAAAGTCACCGTTAGATTTTAAGACGGTTTGCTTTTTAGATAAAAAACGGACATTGCCTTGCCAGGCGGTCCCTTTAGGCCCCGAGGGAGGCTCCTGAGCGAGGTATCCTGGGCTGCCCTCCCCGCACCTCCAGCATTTACCGAAAAACTCTCTTCAGAGATGGACTCAAATGCTATTTTGATGCTTTTATTGATAATTTGAGTACAACCTTAGACATAGTGGTACAAGTTTCAGAGAAAAATAAAGATTCTTTTGCAAAGATTTTATTTCTATTCTTTTGATCTAGTCACATTTGATTACACATTTCATGGTCAAGCATGTTCATTTATAGTGGTTTGTGATTTCCATTCCTTTACAGAGGCTGTTTTTTCCCCTTTACCTTGTTTCCATGTTCTGTTCTGGAGGGGGGGGGTAAGACCACCACCAGGAAAGGAGCAGAGCCCTAGAAACTTCTACCTACTGTGCCTGAAGCCATGAGAGCAAACCCTGTTTGGGCTTTGCACACCCAACACAACACGCAAATTTGGAAGGCAACAATCAGGATAGCGTCACTAAACCCAAAAGCTAGAGTGGATATAAAATACCGGGTGCTCCGTGTGAGAGAGGGGCTGTCTGATTTATCCTGCAGGGTGGGTGTGAGAAGCTACCTGCCGGGACTGTCAGTAATGTGCCGCCACTGATACCGGCCCCTAGGACAGGCGAGCTCATGCCTCGTGACCTTCCTTTTTCTCTTGCTCACAGGTATTGGCTCTCTGTTCCCTCGCTATGATCTTTAAGGCTTTGTGACATGAGTCTGGCAGCTTTGGGGTCACACTGGGGAGGTTGGATTTTCTGACAGAGCGAAGCCAAATGAGGCTGATTAAAACTCCTGTGCTTGCCACACCCCATCTTGTCCCGGGACCAGCCTCTGAGGGAAAAGGGAGATCAGGCAAGACTGTCCCTGGGAGGATGGTTAGGGACAGAGGGACAGAGGTCCTTGGTAAATGTTCTGAGGTCATTCCTTCTCTCCTGCAGCAAGGATTTCTGGTGCTATGTCTACAAAGAGAAGCCCTGAGAAGACAGATGATGAGAACCAAAGACAGTGGTTGTAGTTTTTCATCTGTTTACTGTGCTGTAGAAAATGAGGTCTGCGGCATTTCGCGTAAACACATCTCTTTTTGATGTGTCGTGAACGCCTCAAAAAAAAAAAAAAAGAGGAAAACTTGATCAACACTCCACTTTGATCCATGTTAACATGAGGAAATCTTTTGTATGACTCCACTGTCCTAGAGAAGAACTCTCCTTGGAGTAACCCATTCAGGGACCCAGCACGTGCAGAAATCTTTCCAGTACAAAATCAGTCCTGGTTCCATTCTGTTAGCCCTGGAAATGCTCCTTCTTTAAAGATTTCTGCCTCAACACCCTGAACTTTTGTTAACATTGAGAATCACTATAAAACCACTTCTAAAAATGTTTCCTCTAAAGGTACCTACCCATTAAATTTACAGTGAAGCCAAATGTACTAACTTATTCCCCAAGCTGCAAAATGAATGTTTAAAATCAAATTACAGACTTCGTAGTATGCTCAGAAAAACAATCTCTTTCCAGATTTTCAAATAATTAAATGGAATGAAAAGTACATGAAGTTTTGATCTCTTTCCTATAATGTCAACATTCAAGTTAACTTTCATAATTTCTCGCTAGTTGACAAGCTGATTTATGCATAGTTGATATCCCATCAGTGCAATAAATAAAGGTAGAATTCTTAGGGATAAACACCGACTTTTGACTACTGCCTGTGGTTCTTTGGGGATAGATGCTCTCTGAAAATTTACATAGGAGCATTGCTCTCAAAGCCGAGAATATGGTTCTCCCAATCGACCCGCCGTCTTACAGAGAACCACTGACAATCGTCCCTCCGAACTATTTCCTCACCAATGGCTTCTTCCCAATCTTTGCAGAAGGTACAATGCAGGAAATTAAACCCGAGAAATCTCTCTCTCTCTGCTGCTTAAATCCAGCCCAACTTGAATTTCCGGGAGAATGACAATCCGTGCAAAAGGCGGGATGCACTTTCCTCTGGGCTCTGGGGTGTGTGTCATGCGGAGGCCTGAGAATGCTTCCTGCTGTTGCTCGTGGGATCCCAGGAGCTTTGTGTGGTTTTGTAAGGAACTTGAGGGGTTGTGCGTGTCTGTGTGTGCGTGTGCGCGCGTGCGTGGGGGGGGGAGTGGAGAAAGAGCCCCGAGGGGCGGGAGCCTTGGTACGTTCCCAGGTTGGACGGCAGGAGGCGCTCGCTCGCTCGCGGGCGGCTACACGTCGAACCAGTGGTCCCCCATGCAGGCGCGGTTCCACTCGCAGCTGCAGGCCCAGCACCACTCCAGCCCGCACTGCGGCTGCGGACACTTCATGTGCATGCAGCCTCCTGCGGGCAGACAAAGACACAGGCAAACACCCGCAGAACACTCCTGCCCGCACCCACGCCACGCACTGCTCCCCAGAGGACTCTCTAAGGGCACGTCCCAAGCCGTCCGAGGGCGTTCGGAAGGTAGGACATGGGTTAGGAAGGGCGTGAGGGTGCCGCACGCCACTCCCATCGAGGACAAATGCCATTTGTGAATCTCGTTTATGGACTTCCCTGAAATGGGATTTAGAGACAAAGGCTTTGTGTGTCAGAGATGAGGTCCATTCCTTATCCAAATGTATATCGCTTCATGTTTTAAATAGATGTTAATATACTAAGTATCATATTAGTTGGCATGGCAAAATTCATGGAACAGGAGTCGGGGAAGCAGCACGAGAAGTGTTAATGGAGGAGCGCCTGGTGGCTCAGTCAGTTAAGCGTCTGCCTTTGGCCCAGGTCATGATCCCAGGGTCTCTGGATCGAGCCCTGCCTTGGGCTCCCGGCTCAGCGGGAAGCCTGCTTCTCTCTTTCCCTCTGCCTGCTGCTCCCCCTACTTGTGCTCTCTCTCTCTCTGTCAAAAAAAGTAAATAAAATCTTAAAAAAAAATATTTAACAGAGAATTCATTCCTTAATGCTCTTCAAAATTGTATTTAAGGGGCACCTGGGTGGCTCAGTGGGTTAAGCCTCTGCCTTCAGCTCAGGTCATGATCTCAGGGTCCTGGGATCGAGCCCTACATCAGGCTCTCTGCGCAGCAGGGAGTCTGCTTCCTCCTCTCTCTCTGCCTGCCTCTCTGCCTACTTGTGCTGTCTGTCAAATAAATAAATAAAATCTTTTAAAAAAATTGTATTTAAGATTAGTGGACGAGGGATACTGGGTACTCTACGTGGGTTACCTCATTCCTCCTCAAAAGCACCTAGTGAGTAGGAATATTACTCTGCTGTAGAATTCTCTCAAGGTCCAGTATTTCTAAATGGCAAAGCCCGAGATTTAACCAGGATTTGTCCTTCTTTCATAGAACAGGGTGTTTACAGCATGAGATGAACACTTGCTCATTCTGGGACTTATTTTGGGATTCCTCCCCATCACACATTTGTTAAATTCATTTCTGATTTGCTTCTGGGGCTAAGACATCCAGTCTGCAGTGGAGTGCAGAGTTACTTGTATGAAGTTAGATGCAGAGAACAGTTTCTGACTGAATTTCCTAGATAATTCAGGCAAAAGCAGCTCTTTGCTTGAATCTGACATAACACTGGATGCGCTCTATTATTCAATTTCACCAATTATCCTCTTAAGTCATTTTTCCTTGCCAGATTTTCCAGGTAATTGCTTCCGTACTATCTCATTTTTATTATTAGAAATATGGCATGAGAACCTCCACTGATTTAAAATATTTATGAATATGTAACTGAAGGAATTTGTTGTAGGGTAATTTAAGGGCATTTAAAAATCCCCTACTTTGCTACTCCTTTTCCGTTTGTTTTAAAGATCATTTAAAGCTTAAAAATATGCAGAAAATAAAGGGAAGACTTACCTATGATACTCTTATCTTAATATTTACCATTTAGGGTTACACAATTACAGGACTGTCTAATTTTAAATACATATTTAATGATAACGCTTATGATGTAAATAACAAAATGTCTTCCTACAATACCAAAATCTTCAAAAATACTAATATTACAAATGACATTTTATTATAGAAACAAGAATCATGATGGCTCCACAGAATAAGAAGAAAGGAAACAGGAAGAGAGAATATTCATGTTATTAAGTTTCTTTAAGCCCCCCGGTGCTTAACAGATGCAGGGCCATAAGCTAGCTCCCATAATACAGAAAAGCACCAGGGACTCAGATTCTAAAAGCTTTGCCAGCACAAAAGTAACTGACAACGTCCCCTGACTTTGTGGTCATTTAAACGAAGAAAACATGGCTTCCCTCCTAGAGAATTCTGATCTGTCCATGGGCTGAGGCACCTGTTCCCATCGGCACCGTGGCTGGGGCCAGAGACTCTTTCGTTAGGTTTATGAAGGGAGTAGAAGTTATTGAACAACCTGAAGGGAAATTTAACTGGCAACAGGCACTTGTTGATCAGGGAAAGTAAGCGGCGTCTCCTCGGTCTGGGGTGGGAGGGAAGGAAGACCCTTTCCCAGACTGAGGCTGGCAGGAGGAAGCAATGAGGCTTCGCCTGGGTTCGATGTGGGAATGAGCCTCACGTTTTTTGTGGCTTTGCGGCAGGAAGAACTCCTTTCTGGGATTCAGATGACTATGACAGAGGCCATGAATTTACTTTGAGAATGAGATCATGAGACCAGCTTTTCTTGCCCATAGAGCTCACATCTGTCTCTGCTGTATGCTTTAAAAACAGCTTAGACGAATAATACTTATTATTAATAAGCTTAAAGTTTCATGGGCTAAAAATCTATCAGTGAAAAATCAGGGCTTTCCATTTATAGCAAATCCTGATACTTCAAAGAAATCCGAGATGGGGGGCAGGAGGGTGGCCTGTTGATTTAGCAGTTAAGTGACTGCCTTTGGTTCAGGTCCTGATCCTGGGGTCCTGGGATGGAGGCCCGGATCGGGCTCCCTGCTCTGTGGGGAGTCTGCTTCTCCCTCTGTCTTCTGCTCCCCCTGCTTGTGTTCCCTCTCTCTCTAATAAATAAAATCTTAAAAAATTTATCTGTTTATGTGTCATCCCCTTTAACTAGCTACTTTTTAATTCAATGAGTATTTGTCAGGTGCTTTTCTGGGCCCAGGGAAGGGACAGGCAAGGTTCATGCCCTTCGGTAATAACAACATGGTTTCTTAGTATTTAATGTACATTCTTGAAATACGTGTGACCTGGAGCACGGCCCGTGTTTATCAGCACTGCGTACCCTCCCTGGTGAAGGCTCTTTGCACCTTTTCTTTTTTTTAATGTTTTATTTATTTATTTGGGAGAGAGCCAGACTGAGAGAGAGCATGGGCAGGGGAGGGACAGAGGGAGAGGGAGAGGGAGAAGCAGACTCCCCGCTGAGCAGGGAGCCTGACGCGAGACTCAATCCCGGGATCCTAGGACCCCAGGCTGGTGGCAGTCGCTGGACCAGCTGAGCCAGCTAGGCGGTCCTGCATCTTTTCTGACTTCCACTTGCCTACACTGCACTCTCGAGCAGTGAGGACTGCAAGAGTTCCTGCCCCGGCTCCACTGACGTCCTTTCCTCCTACATGATTCCAGGCACATCCCAGTGCGCAGAGGGACGTGAGGACTCATGACGCACATTTATGTCTTTATTTCCAGGAGACCATTGTCTCTGAGCCAGGGACGTGGCCTGAGCTGAGCCCATTCCTGCTGCTCTGGGCTGTGTCGGTGCTCTCTTGTTTGCATTGTGAACACCTTCTGAGGGACACAACAGGGGAAACAGGCCTGCGGGCCTGTCCTGAGAGCACCGGGTTCCACTCCCCAGCGAGCCAGCGGGCACCTCTCACACTTGGAATGGGCTCTGGGCACTGGGCTATGATGGCTTTATGCCGGTTGGCACATCCTGGATGGGTGGCAGCCGGGGCCCTGGTTGGTGCGATGCATCAGAATCACCGTGAACGGGGCAGCCCAGAGCCAAACAGACCAGCGCTGCTGAGCAGGGAGGATGCACGCCGACCGCCGCAGGCCACAGGACCCCGGTGCCGTCGTCCCAGCCCTGGGAAGCTCAAGGGGAGAAGAAGTGCAGCCACTGGCACAGACGCACCGTCGGGGAGCTGAGCAGGTCTCCCCCGTTTCCTTTGGTGGGTTACAGGGGCTCCTTGTCCATGAGGACAGGAGCAGGAAGGACGGTCCTGCCATCTGCAAGCCCCACGGGTCCCCGCAGCCACGGGGTTCCCGCAGTTACTGAGTGCGTCGGGGCTGGGGGTCCCAGCCTTTCTTGGGACTGGAGTGTCATTAAGAAGAGAACCGTTCAGATACGGATCCCGCGTTTCTATGCCCGTGAACCCACACAGAGCAGGGCCTACCGGGGGACTTCTAAATGACTGGGGGCAGGCGAGGGAGAACTCCAGACGCATCTCCCCGCGGTCACCTCACCTTCTCAAAACTGAGAGAGTAGTTGGCAAAAGGCTAAAGGAATAGGTTTATGGAGAGACAGATGCATTCAGAGGGTATTTTAACAAAGCAGGTGAGTGGGGTTATAATACAAAGCACTGAATCTCCCGCAACAAGGACGGACAAGCATAAGCCCAAGTGCACGCAGCTCCCCAACGGTCCACAAGCTGGTGTGACAGGAAGAAAAGGAAGTCATGGCTCCCAAATTTGGGAACCAGGAAATCAAACAAAATTAAGCCAATTACTTTACAAAAGGATTCTGAGTTGCTAATGCATATTGCGAATGGGAATATATTGTGATTTCTGCGAGTGTTAAATGATCTCACATTTGTAGGGAACTTAAGCCAAACACCCCATAAATGCTCAATATGAGTTAATTGTTTGTGTGGTTGTTATTATGCAAGAGGGATATGCTATAGGAATGACCTGGCAACTCTTTCCCTACCGAGGAACTCTAGACTCTGAGAAATACCGGGCTGGGAAGCTTCCAATTTATATATATATATATATATATATATATATTTGGCTACACTAGTGGACCGCTTACCAGATACAAAGTGTCTAAATTATTAATAATTAATAATAATAAGGGCAATTAGGTTTATCGATTGTCTAAACCAGGCACTTGGCTGTGTATCTGCCGTGCGCAACAGCTCATGATTCTCCTGGTATGAGACAGCTTCTGTTTTCATCTCTCTTTAACAGAGGAGGATCTCAGCCTTAGGCAATTTAAAAACTTGGCCTGGGAGAGCGGAGACTGGCGTTCTGGCCAATCGCTCCCAATTCCCAGGGTGCTGAGCTCGTCAGTTACATGTCCTCTTACAGTTCCTGACTGCTACAACCGCTGGCTCCCGCTCTCCAAGGAGCGCTCCCCCAACCCTCACTTCTTCCCAGACTCACCATTTTTCTCAACGGGCACATGGCAGCGGGGACAGGGCTTGGTGGTTTTCTTGATCGTGTCTTTGGAGGCCTCTTCCCACCGAGCTTGCTCCGCAGCCTTCTGGTCAACTCGGTAAGCCTGCGGAGTGGAGACAGAAGGAGCTGCGACTCAGAGCTTTACATGGGGGTTGATGTGTCGGTTCTTTGAGACACAGGTCCAGAAAATTCCTAGAGCTGCGAGTGCCCTCAAGGAAGAAACTCAAGCATAAACACACTTAACAGGTGTGGGACAAGGCCCGACATGCACGGAACACGGTTTCCTCTGCCTGCGGCCTTCACTTACGTGCTGAGAAAACGGCTTAATTTTATATTGCGAGATCCCTTCTTTGGTTGTTTTGGATAATGGTCATGAATGACGCCTATGAGGTGTGAACCGTGCAGGCGAGGTGAGAATGTCCTACAGACACTGCCTTCGATGCTTCGTCAGGCGAGTGTACTCATGTTTCTTTCCCACCCAGGAGGAGGTGGGCTCAGCAGTTGCCCAGAGCTGGTGAGTGGGACGTTCCAAGATTCCTTTACATCTCGTTATCCTTCATTCTTGCACCTGGAGGATGGGGAGCTCCAAATGTTGTCACAGAAGGGACAGGAGCCAGAAGAAGGAAATGGAGTTGAACTGACATGGAAGGCGGAGGGGGTCGGGAGGAGCTGGGGGAGAAGACTGTGAGTCTGGGGACAGCTGCCCAGGCTCCAACCCCAGCCCCATCCAGGGGAGGGACTGTAAGACACACCGTCACCTCTCTGCAAGTTCTCCTCTCTTAGACGGAAACGAGGAATGCCTAGTGCACTGGGGTATCAGGGGCTGAGTGAATTTTTTGAAAGGCTTAGAACTGGTATCTGATGTGCGTTGTTAAGTGATAATATGAATTACCTCAGGATCTCTCACATGGCAAGCTCTCAGAAATGTTTGTTAATATTGTTATTGTCACAGGACTGAGCTTTTCCTGACTCGTAGGACAAAGAGGAAAGGAGGTTTCATTCTGCTCCCATCTAACCACTCAGACACTGTACTCTCACACTTACTTCAGTACTGGATGACGTGTGCAGAAAAAGAATGGGTATATTTTTGGATTCAGTACAAGAAACTTGTGGTCTAGCTCTATATTTAAATATATTCCAACATCTTCATCCGAACAGAATCCCTCCATTTTGGCCTCTGTCGTATTCAAAACATTTGTTTCTTCTATACTTTAAAATTAATATGATCATGCAAGTCATTTTACTAACCTGTAAAAACTAATTAAAGATATCTTCAGAGCTATTTTTATATCAAGAAACTACTAAAACTAACTTCAAATATAAATTAGTGAAGAAATCAAATAACAAAAAATGCTCTAATACTCCGATATTAGTCTAATAATAATAATAATACTTTGCAAATTCATAACATTATTTTTTACACTTTGACTTCTATTTTTCAGTTGTTCCTCCCAATAACCTAGAGAAAACGGTGGGGTTTCTAATAAGATATCAAACTTATTTTTCAAATGAGGCCTCTGAGTAATTAATAAAGGTCAAGTGCCAGGTTCAGAAATGCTTACATTGTATATGGCAGCATCGGTGCTGGTCAAATGTAAAAATTTGGAAAACATGGGGGTGCCAGGTGGCTCAGTTGGTTAAGCATCTGCCTTTGGCTCAGGTCATGACTCTAGGGTCCTCAGATCAAGTCCCACCTCGGGGGGGGGTCCCTGCTCAGCAGGGAGTCTGCTTCTCCCATGAACTCTCCCCCGGCTCATGTTCATGCTCTCTCTTTCTCTCAAGTAAACAAATAAAATCTTAAATTTTTTTTTTTTGGAAATCCTAAAGGATGGAAACCCAAACCAAAGATGCTCACCTACAGGTTTCTAACACATAACATTGTGCTTTGAGAATCAAACTCTGTTCAGCACCACTGTGCTTAGCAGGTTTTCTAAGCGGTGAGAGTGACGCGGCCTTAGTACGTAGTCATCATCTGGTCACCCCAGTGCGTGAGTTACCTAAAGATGCCAAATCTGGTGAGTAGAAGTCTCCACCCCGCGTTAGAATCCGGCTTTTAACATTTCACCATCAGGTTCTAAATACTTAAAAAATGTTAAGTTTTCAGTCGTAAAGACACCAAAAGCAGAGTCAACCAAAGCAAAAATAAACAAGTGGGACTCCATCCGACTAACAAGCTTCTGCACAGCAACAGAAACCATCAGTAACACTAAAAGGCAACTTGCTGATTGGGGGAAGATACTCGAAAATCTTCTGTTAAGAGGTTAGTATCCGGGGCACCTGGGTGGCTCAGTGGGTTAAGCCTCTGCCTTCAGCTCGGGTCATGATCCCAGGGTCCTGGGATCAAGCTCCACATCTGGCTCTCTGCTCAGCAGGGAGCCTGCTTCCGTCTCTCTCTCTCTCTCTGCCTGCCTCTTTGCCTACTTGTGATCTCTCTCTCTGTCAAGTGAATAAATAAAATCTTAAAAAAAAAAGAGGTTAGTATCCAAAATATATGTAGAACTCAGAAAATGCAATGGCAATAAAACCAAGCAATCTGATAAAAAAACAATGGGCAGAGGATCTGAGTAGACATTTTTCCAAAGAAGGCATACAAATGGCTTACAGGTACATAAAAAGGTGCGTGCAGCGCTCCTCATTGGGGAAATGCAAATCAAAGCCACAACGAGACTTCTCCTCACGTCTGTTAGAGTGGATATTGCAAAGAGACAAGAGAGAACAGTGGCAGATGTGGAGAAGAGGGAGCTCTTGTGCGTTGCTGGGGGGGCGTAAACTGGACAGACGCTGTGGAAGACGGTATCCTGCCCTTTGTAACAACACGGATAGAGCTTGAGTGCATGACGCTAAGTGAAGTAACTTAGAGAGAAAGACAGATACTATATGGTTTGCTTATATGTAGAATCTAACCCGGAACTCAGAGATACAGAGAACAGACTGATGGTGGCTAGAGGTGGGTTTGGGGAATGAAAGTAGTTAACAAATTTGAAAGTTGCAAAGAGAGTACACCTTAGAAGTTCTTATGAGAAGAAAAAAGGTTGTATTTATATGTGGTGAGGGATGTTAACTAAACTTGTGGTCATCATTTATATATATATATGTATATATATATATATATATATACACACACATACATATATATATAAAATATGTAATATATATTATATATGTGATTATATATATAATTGTTATGTTGTACATCTAAATCTAACATAATGTCACATATCAATTATATCTCAAAAAGAGAGCAGTATAATATAAAGCAAATAACTGTGTTTTTTTATATTTTAATTCCAGTATAGTTAACATACATTATTATATTAGTTTCAGTGTGTAATATAGTGATTCAACACTTCCCTACATCACCTGGGGCTCATCATGACATAAATCACTGTGTTTGTACTTCACTTGCAGTATTTAGTGGGTTTTGTTGTAATTAGTATTTATATTTTTATTATTTCCAATAGAAAGTGAATTTGCCCGGAGCCAAGATCACATTTGTGTCCTCCTCACATCTCCAGTGTCTGGTCTTGTGCCAGGTACCTAGGAGGCACTCTGTATTTTAGCTCAGTGAATGAAGAAATGACATAGCACACCAAGACACGAACCTGCTGATCATCTGGGAGTAAGATCCCAGAAGTAAGAACCAGGTGGGGCAATGGGGTGCCCCCTAATCGTGGTCCTTGCAGTGAAGAAGCAAATTTCTTTCTGTTACATCATAAAGGAAACTTCCTTTATAACTCAGAGGGTGTCCTCTGATTTGTTAATACTTGGTTAGGATGTAACTGAGTAAGTTTAATGGCTAAGAACAATCACAGGTACTGAGAACTCCCTTTGGCCCCAGTTTACAGGCCACTCGTGGCTGAGAGTGCAGGGGGATAAAGGTGTGGTTAAGGAGAGTGGTTGCAAGGTTTAGTAAGTAGGTTCTGATCTGAACTACACATCTTCCAGTCAGCTCAGATTCACACGTGGGCCTAATCCTCAGGGATACACAGCAAATACATCCCCCCCAACCATATGTTCCAAGATTTTCTTTTTAAGGCCCAGGAGCTTGTAACTCTAAAGTGAGGCTTTAACATTGTCTATTGGGGGCATCTAGATCAGAGAAATATATAATTTTACTTACTAAAAACTAATTTCAAAATGTTGCTTTTCAGCAATATGGCACACTGTGCACTGAGTGCAATTCTCCCTGGTCTCCACATCTAAAAATGATGGATGGAATATGGAAGATGAGTCTTTGCTTAATGCATGGCTGATCTGGTAGAGAAGGAAAGGAAATCCCTGATGCCTAGAAAGGGAAAGAGAAAATCCTCCTGGTTAAGGGAAGGAGGAATCTGGGGCTTGTGATGGGGGTATTTTCCTCGTCTCAGGCTGCCCAGAGTCTGGCTCTTTATAGGCCCTGAGAGAGTGCAAAGAGAAAACCTGGGCCAGAGCAGGGTGGAAGGTGGAATCAAATTTTCCCATTATACACAGACAACCTAGACTCCTCAGGGGTGACCTCCACAGCTGATGGACTAGGGAAAAAAGTCTTCCCAGAGGAGAGAATGGATTAAGAATTAATAAAGATTTGTGCTGGTTCCAGCCTTATGGTGAAGAAGGTTGGGGAGACAAAGCCTCTCTGAGAATTCCTAACCACTAAGCCTCATACGCAAGGTTTTTGTGAAAAGAATTCATTACTAGTAGTGAAAAGAATTCACTATTTATTAGCTGAATAAAGAACCCGAGACAAAAAGTTAATTTGAAATACTCGGGTAGCACACCCAGGAACCTGGCTGAAGCAAAACTATTTTCCATATAGTAGTATACTTAAAAAAGCCAAACTTCAAAAAAAAAAAAAAATCACACAAATAAAACTCCAAAGAGCAAAAGATCACAATAGAGAAGTTACCTAGTAGAGCAGGAAAGAAGCTATCATTAGTGAGTGGCAGAAACACAAAACTCAAGAATCCGACCAGCAAATGTTGTAGATACTGGAATGATCAGATACAGAGTACAAAATAAATATGTTTGATATGCTCCAAGAAATAAAAGCATGAGAAGTTTGGTAGAGGTATATGAGGTTATTATAATGAACCAGGCAGATTTGAAAAAGAAAACCTATTTCTT